GCCCTGACCCCCGATCTTGAGAACGTGTCCTGGGGCCACTGGATGCGGCCCAGCACAGATGCCAGGATGTTCCAACTGTTCGTGAGAGCGAAGCTGGAGACAGTGCGATCAGAGATGGGAGTGCGTCGTGGAGTGTTCCACGCGGTGAGAGGCATGAGTGTGTCTATGCACACGAGAGACGGGGAGGGGTGGCTGAGGCAGGCGCACGCGGGAGGGGCTGTGGCGGGTGGTGTGCTCTGGGGTTACGGTTTGGTTCTTCTTACCCTGCATGTAGAGTGCACATGACCTTTGGTATGTGTCAGCTAGTACATTTTTTCGAAAGGCAAGCGAGGGTACCAGCAAGGGAGTCTTTACCCACCTCCTGTTCCCCCTGGCAGGACTCCTGTCGGAGAACTATGCCCAGGTGACGGCCGGAGGGGGGGCAGGTACCTGTGTGGTGACCCCAGCCCCGCCCTCACGGAGCCGCGATGAGGACACCCAGCATGGAGCCTTTGCTCTGAGCAGCCGCAAGATGCTGACAGACACCGCGTGCACACCGCCCCTTTCAGTGCGTGGCCTGGGCACCTGACAGGACCCGCGTGACCACAGATGTAAGGGTTTATCTCTGGACTCAGTTCTGGTTCGTTGGTCTGTGTCTGTCCTCAGGCCAGCACCCCGCGACCCCGATGGAGCTGCAGAGAGTTTGGAAGCCAGGAGGTGTGAGTCCTCCAACTTTGTACCTGTTCAAGGTTGTTTGGTCCGTTCTGGGTCCCTTGTATTTCCATGTGAGTTTTAGGTTCAGCTTATGAATTTCTGCAAAACAGCCGAGGCTTTTCGTAGGGATGAGTGACCCGGTAGGCGGGTTGCGTCCCAGCAGCTCCAGGCTTCCGGGCCATGAACACTGTCCTCCAGCATCAATAAGCACAGCTTCCCCTCCTTGGTTACGTTTATTCCCAGACACTCCATTCTCTTTGATGCTATTTTAAATGGGTGGTTTTCTGACTTCAGGTTTGGGTTATTCATTGCTGGCGTATACAAATGCAATTGATTTTTATGTATTGATCTTGTATCCTGCAGCTTTGCTGTTGGTGCAACTCGTTTTTGGTGTATTCCTTAGTATGTTCTATATTCTGTCCTCTGAGAATAGAAATAGTTTTACGTCTTACTTTCCAACCTGGATGCCTTTTATTTCTTTTTCTTGCCTAATTGCCGAGAAGGGGCATTTGTGGGGGTTTTCTGCTTTGTTGTTTTGTTTTGTTTTGAATCCTCACCTGAGGCTATATTTTTCCATTGCTCTTCACAAATCCCGGAAGGGAGGGAAGAAAGGAGAAACAGGCAAATTGGTGTCACTCTGCTATACATACCACCCAATCAGGGGGAGCTGGCAAATTAACCCCAAAAGATGGGCGGCGGCTTTGGAAGCTGGAGGC